TGGTCTCATGGCTTGAAGACAAGTTATATCTACACAAAATAGATGGCTTGGCAAGAATCCAACCGTCCATTGGCCTATAATTAAGAACAGTGTTCATGGCTTGGCAAAAATTTCTTCACCACTATTTGATAGGCTAGAGCTTCGCTCTCTACTTACGCCTCTTTCTAGACTTTATCCGAAGTCTCTACATTTTCCCTGTCTGTGTATTGCACTGTCTGTATTAGGTTTCCTTGTCTGTGTACTGCACTGTCTGTATTAGTGTATAATTAATCAAGTTTAAATTAATATAATATTAAATTTGATTTTGATTTTAAATTCAAAATTTAATTTAAATTCAATTGAATTTTATTTTTTTAGCTTGAATTTAATTTGAGATAAAAATTAAATTACTTAAACTTATTCAATTAAGCTTGATTGATATATAAAAATAAATTTAATTTTTATATTTGATAAAAATTTGATTATTTGTATTCGAATTTAAATTTAAGATTTTTATCAATTAAAATAATTAAAATATATTAAAATATAAAAATTTAATTAAGTTCGTGAATAATTCGAATAAAATATAAGAATACTCGAACTTGATTCGATCGATAAGTCAAGCTACTTAAACTCAAATTTCATTTAATAATAATCAAACTAAATTTAAATTTTATTTGAATTAAATTCGAGTAATTTGTAAATATTAATGTATCATTTATATTACTAATATATATTGATGTCTATGCTGTTGAGTTGAGCATTTCAGAGCGCGTGGGAGAAACACCTTTGGTACGTGCTCTAATCTCGTGTTCATCTTGTGGGTCGAGACATTCGTGGCGATAACTTCCATCACTAGTCGAGACATCCATCTCACTCACCCTGACCGCAATGACTCTGACTCCATTAGGGAAATAACAAATTCACCTCCATAATATTTGATGCAATTCATTGAGAGATCAATCTTATCTATCATGCCTCTTAAAAAGAGAGTCTTTGAAAAAGGAAGAGTTCACCAACCACGTAGGAGTAATCCTCCCCGCAAAAAGATCGGAGTGAAACGACCATGTCACCAAGGCTCACACACAAGAGTGCCATTAAAGATGCTTAAAGATCTCCTCGCCCACAAACAAAGAGAGGGGAGTGACGAATAAGTGAACTCTAGCGCTTCCAACATTCAAAACAATAAAGAAAAGGGAGTGCAAGATGAAAAGTTCGACCAATTAAAAGATGTTGTCTTTATCATTAGCTAAGTTGTGAGGGGTTTCATGGCAAAGCGCCCCTCGCCTATGGAGCCAAGGCACACCAGTGCCATTGCAAGAAAGGCTTCCTTCGCGAATAAAAATTGAGTTGAGGGGGAAGAAGTGAATGACCCAACTAGGGAGCCTTAAGACTTTTTAGAGGCCTACACTTCATCCTAAATGATCCTTACACGGACTGAACTCCACTCAAGGAGTGCTAGGAGTCACTAAGGAAGGAACATAAGGGATGAAAAGGTCTGAGGAGCTAAGGTCCACAACTAACTTAAAGCAAGGATTGAACCAAATAAGAAGTTAGGGAGCTCAATAGGAAGCTGAACGAGAACAAGGAAAGGGAACAAGCTAACCTAACGGTGAAGCTTGAAAAATAGAGCTCGCGAACCTTGACAAAAATGGATAGAAATGAAGGCTAAAATGGAAGCCATAAGAGAAAGATTGCGGCAAGCACCTCGTTAATTGACTTGGAATCATTGGGGAATTCTCCCTTTACTCAAGAAATAGATAACGCCTTAACCTCTTCAAGGCTTCAAACTTCCTCTATGATGACATATCCGAAGCCATCATGTGCAAAGCCTTCCCGCGACTCTCGAGAAGGCCACTAGGTCTTAATACTATTCACTTAAGCCAAGAACCAAAAATACCTTCAAGGAGTTAGGGTGAAAGTTTGTGACCTCCATCACGTTAAAGTTCGTAAAGCAAATGCATGATGAAACCTTGAGAAATTATGTCATAAGGATTAATAATGAAACAGTTCAAGTCAAGGACCTCGACCACACAATTGCTATATTTGCCTTCATAAACGGCTTGAAAGAGAGCGACTTCACTAGGTCTTTATCCAAGAAATCACCCAAAGACTTTGCGGACTTAATCAAGAGAATAAGAAAGTATATAAATGCCGAAAGGCTATGGCAATGAAGTACCAAGAAGATGGGAAAGGAAAGAAAAAGGGACATAGGAAGTCCGAAGTGGAAGATGGAAAAAAGTTCTGCGACGAAGGTCTATGAGCACTACACTCTCTTAAAAGGCAAGAAGAGAAATCTTGATGATCATGGAAAAGGAAAACATGGCAAGACTTCCCAAGAATTTGACAAAGCTTAGGGTTAAGAGGGACAGAAAAAAGTATTACACTTTTCATAAAAACCATGATCATGAAACGGGAAACTACATAGTACTCGATAGTCAAATTGAAGACCTGATTCAAAGCAGCTATCTAGGGAGATTTGTCGAAAAAAGGGACAATAGAAATTGTGGGAGAAAAAAAACGACAATCAAAAGAGGTGAGAATCAAAAGATCAATGAAAGCCAAGAAAAAAGGGAAGATAGGTGTGAGATTGAAGAGCCCGCACCCACCGACAATAGATCTATAGTCGGAGTTATCATTGTCATAACAAGTGGACTTTTGTCGCGCGGACCAAGATCATCAGGAAAGAAGAAGCACGCTAAGCTTTACACCTTAATGGCATATGAAAAGAAACCAAGAACTTAGAAGGATGATATATGGCATTGCCACTCAGAGTAGGTGTGGAACCAAAGACCATAACCACGATGACTGACTTCATCGTGGCTAAGACTCCCCCGTCTCCAATATTCTCCTTGGCGACCAAGTCAAATTGCCTTAAGGGTCGTTGGCTCCTCACCTCATTTTAAAGTGAAATTGCCAACACCACAAAACAACAGGGAAATAAAAGGAGATAAAGTGGCCGTAAGACAATGCTAAAACACCGCCATGAAAATGAAAACAAAAGGATTTGAATCTTTCCCCATCAAGAAGTAAAACAGAATGTCCATCCTACACGAATAAAAGAGCCGGTAGGATACTCGATTGAGGCAATAGCTCATCAAAAACCCTAAAGAGTTGGTCCAAGCGAGCTGAATGTGCCTTGGAAAAGCAAAAACATCTCCTCAAGGATAGCTCCTAATCCATCCATGTAAGCTAAGCCAAGCAAAGACCAAGTTAGTAGTTATTAGATTTAAAGTTCACGGTTTTATGATTGTTGTCGCAAGACGAAGGTATAGAGAGCCCTACCCCAACCCCCGTAGGAAAGAGTGCATGCACCATCCTCTGTAAAGCTTTTGTAAAGCTATAGATGTACAGTGAGACATAGACAAACTGCACTACCCACAATATTACAACCTCTTTTGTTTCATCAACAGTGAAAGTAAAAAGTGTGCACAACTCTTCCGTCAATCAATGAAATGATGTGTAAACAACGACCCAACTCTCTAATACCTTTAACTCTCTAACAAGCAAGCAAACTTAAAAGGCTGACACCTAACCAAAAAGACATTACCCCCAGTACAAAGAGCTTGAAAAACACCACCTTGAGTGCTAGAGCCCCAGATGTTTTAAGGTAAGGTAAAGCTAGCTTGGACTTTGAGGTGGCAACAACGAAAACAAGACCAAGTTCTGTAGGAACGAAACTAAGTCCTTGAAACATAAGAAGATGAAGCCGAGTCCCCTAAAGCATAGAGGGACTCGAGGAAAACTTCAATCTCGCTACTACAAAGATTGAGCTTTTCGGAGAGACATCTCGGACGTCTGACCAAAGCAAATGAAGAGTCCAAGAGAAGAAAAGGTACCGAAAGAACTCTAAAGCCAAAAAATATTGCTAAACACCTAAGCTCGTAGGCTTGGATGTCGCCTGAGAAATTAATTAATAGACATGAATACTGAGCTCTTAAACTTGGATGCCGTTTTTAGGACATGACAAAACTGTCAAAATGCAAAAATTTGAGCTTCAAGGATTGTAGACCATAAAACTTCATAAGCTCTTAAGCTTGGAAGCTGTTCGAATCATGGAAGTGACAAAACTCCCCAAGCTCTTAAGCTTGCAAGACATCAATAGATGTAACAAAGATCTCTAAGCCACTTAAGATTAGAAGATCAATAATCAGACCAAGAAAGGCGTCACTAAAAGGCAAACTCCACTTTAAGGGTACATCACATAAAGTGAGCTTCACTAAGGAAAGACATCAAACATTACCTAATGTAAACCACAAATAAGGCAAATGTCGCCTCAAGTGAACCTCGCATGAGACAAATGTCACCCGAAGGAAACCTTGAATGAAGTCATGCCTAAAGCAAAGGCCACACAAGGAAATTCTATATAAAATGGAACTCCGTAGGCACACCCACTAAAGACGGACACAAGGTTGCCCAACACTCGAAAACATATTCAACAGAAGAAGAATCTCTCAAGGGGATACTAGCCAACATAATCAAACTCCAAGGGAGGGATTAGCCCCCACCAGAACCATGGAGCCACCGAAGACATCAATAAGCTCCCAAGAGCTTGTTAATTGATATGGTCGGCATCTAAAGGAGGAAGTAGGACCCCTTAGTGGAGTTACTCAAGCATGCCTAAAGCCCTAAGGCCAGATACATACACTCAAGAAGTCATATAAGGTGTAAAGTCCTCAAGCAAGGGACAAAACATTAAAAGAAATGCTAGACATGAAGAAACAGTAAGAATAAGAAGAAAAGAGATGGTTGATAAAACTACAAAGAACATTGATTAATCATCGTTGTTCCCCAAAAGACCATTCTTAAGTCTTAGATTTGAAGTTATTAGAAATAAAATAAATTCAATATCTTGTTTATTGTTCAGAGTGTACTACACAATCACAAACAAAGTTCCTCAAAGCTTGGATAATTCTATAAGGTAGAAAATTCTTATAACTGAAATGTAACCAGAAAAGGATTCATGCATCCCAAGTTCAGAGAAAGAAATGTTATTTTCATGCAGCATTAGTTTGACATCATTGTAAATAATTTACCAGCAAATTAAAATTGAACCACACCAAAACTAATTTTGTTACATTTCAATCAGAATCAAGGGCAGAACAAACCTGTATAACTTTACAATCCAGTCGAAAAAATTTTGACCCAAATGAATAGGGTTAAAAAGAATGAAGCCAGCCTGTTAGTGCAACCAAGCACACTACCAGCGCCAGATGAATCAAATTACAATGTTCTCAAGAAAAATGCCCTACATCATTGAGCATATACACCGGATAACGGGAGAAGAATGTAACTATTGCTATACCAAGACAATTTGAAACCAATTCTCTGAACCTGAAATGATAGCAAAAGCAAGAGAAATAGTTTGAGTTTAATATTTGAAAAGCATGAATTGTGTTTTCTGTGAAATGTAATAAAAATAATAGATAGGTAAAGACTACACCATACCATCAGTTGAATTACCCCCGCAATATTTTTCAAATTTCAGGCATAATAGTTCAGAACCATACTACATACCCCAATTTGCATAAAGAATGGTTACAACTTACAAATTGCTGTAAATTTTATTCTTAAAATCAAACAACCACTTTATCAATTGGTAAGCCAAAAATTTATCTCATGAAGCTATTCCTTAGCAAACCAAGCTCAAACCAGAGGCTCAGCAATAAGATGCCAGAAATTAGATAATTACTCCTAGTAATATCAGTTAATCCTTTTCTTATGTACCTATTCAACATTTGGCATTTAGTTACTACATCCTTCATTCTTTCTGATACTTAATCATTGGACCATTACTACCGTTCAAAGTTAGAGCAGCGGCATTACTCTTTCCTATTTGAAAAAATGGTCTTATTTTTGCCTCATAGCATAGATGCTTTAAAAGACCATGCAATACATGAAAAGAAAGCCCTATGCCTCTTCGTATCAAATTATCAATTATGTCCTAATAGAACCCTAAAATACAAATACACCGCCACCCCCACTAATTAAAAAGTAATGCATCCTAGCACTACTGAAAAAAGCACACATTTCAACTTAACGACAATCTTCTCAATCACACTGCAGCTAGCCTTTCTTTAACCATAACTTAACTAAGAGGGCCTACAGTTGAATTATAGAGTAAACCAAGATTCGTTAAATTTCAGAGCAGCTGAATGGAACAAAAACAAGACCATACATATTTCAGTTACAAGACATTCACTTTGAAGACTTCCACTCAACAACTGCAATTTTTTTATATCCTCAGTATTGCCTCATGCTAGCGCTTTAAATTGTAATCACCTTGCAACTGCATCTAATGATCAATATGACTGCAAATAGGCTTCTAAATGTCCTCTTTTACAATAATCAACATCTAACCATGAGTCGAATTTACTGGCTAAATAAAACTCAAATTAAATTAAGATTAAGATATGTTTTCAAAAAAGGAAAACAAACTGAATTTTAGAAAGTACATTGGAAATTGTTGAAATTTTTAGTTGTAGAAGGTGTTTGAATTTACTTCACTTTGTTTTTTAAAGCATTTCGTCACTCCACTCACGTACTTTATCTAAAAGTGATATTTTGAATGTCAAACAGATTTCAACCGCTGTAAAGGTTGACTTCATTATTAGGAACTGAATTCAAAATGACAAATAGAAGGGAACTCAATTACATGTTTCCATGAGATACAAAGATATAAATTAGCAAATGTACACAATTGAAAATTGATTCTATTTTTCATTTCTAAGAAAAAAAAATCCTTTCAGGAGCAAGCTGTACCTCAAGATAAGATGACAAGTCCTAGATACATTGCACCAGCAAGGAATATGAATGATATCATTCCCCTGCAAGCAGTGTTCACAAAGAAAATGTGAGCAGCAAGACAAATAATCATGAAATATTTACAACTTTGCACATCATAGACACTGTCCTCATGTTCCACTATTCATGCTCTGTCAAAGCTTCAAGTGTCAGTGTCTCACCATATAAATCCCCATCCAACTCCATTGCAGGGGCAAGGACAAATTTCTGCAAACTTCTCAGCATCACTGGAGTTAACTCTTCGAGATATTAGATCGTCATAGATATCTACGCAAATAATATTCAATTCACTTTAAACTTAATTCTTAACTCTTACAACAAACAATTGGCATAAATAAATAAAAGAAGGAAAAATTATGAAGAAAAAAGTCAGAGGAAGCAGAACCACTGAATACATACCGTAGACAGAAAACAAACTGTTCATGACACCTGCAATATCCAAATTATAAATAAGCAACACTTCTTTTAACAGAAGAGATTTGAAAATGAAATTATTCCTTGGAAAAGAAAAGGAAAAATGACAAGAGAGCCTATACCAATGAAGAGAATGACATAGCGGAGAATACGAACTGTTGTCCTTTCTTGCAAAAGCCAAATTATAGCAAGGAATATAATAAATCCTGAGGAATCCAATTTATTGATAGCAAAATTATTAGCACTTAAACTCATGGTTATAAAAATACAAGTCAAGGCTATGAGGGTACTCACCAATGCAAAGTCCTCTCAGTGTCCACTGTTTGAACACTCAACAAGTTAAAAGCTTGAAAGTACCCTTTAAAGAATATAAATTTAAAAAAAAAAAAGAGGAAAGAAAGAAAGAAAGGAACATCCGCATATGAATACCAATTTTTATTAGGAAATATTATCTCCTTGACATCTTACATTTTTAGCATAAAAGAGCACAACAACCAGAGCAAGAAGAAAACAACCAGCAGCTATTCTAGCAGTGACAAGATTTGTGGATGCAAGAATTAAAGCCATCCCCCAAAATGATGAGCCAAGATCTGGATGCAAAAGCAATTGTAAATTGATAAATGCCACTGAAAAGCAAATTGCATTAGATGAAAGATCACCTAGTTGGAAATGGATACAATAAAAACTTTGAGAAGGTTGGTAATTAATTTAATAGTAAAAAAAGGAAAGGAAAAAGAAAAATACTTACATCCAGCAGGCAAGATCAACCAGTATACACCACCTCGTGTCTGTGTTACTCCACCTTCATCTGCATGAACCTGGATCCCTTCTACCTGCATGTTAAGCAAATACGAATTTTAACCATTGAGCAGACCATAACACAAAAACTAAACGTCAGCAATATGAGTTATCATTAAATTAAACCGACTTAAAAACAAAAAACAATTTGCAATTCTATTCAAAGCAATTTTGGTAGGGTGCCACTTAGAATAAACTTGTGAAGCTCATATAAGCACTCATTTTCTGGTGAAATAATATGGTGCGTACCTCATACACAAAGATAGTAAAAATTTTAATTTGCAACAAGCAAGAATGGTTAAGTGGCACAACAGACTTCTTAAAGTGAGATCATGCACTACATACAAGAACATGAAAAACCGTGAAACATGTGTAACAATATTACATATGTGGTCCATGATCCCATGGAGTACAAAGGCATTTAAAATGATGTAAAGGGAAGATATGAAATTTAATTATTGATTCACAACACTGGCACAGAATGGTAACTTTTTCTTTTTGAGTGCCCGAAACGAGCAAAATTTGTAAAGCATCCTTGATCTGTAGCTTAAGCTTGAAAACAAGTTAATTGTATTTTGCCTTGCATTATGAAGATATAGAAATTACATACCAAAAAAAAGAAAATATACAAATCAAATAAATATAAATTGATGTTCAAGACCTAATCTAGTAGCCATAAAAAGGTCCAAAGATACTAGAATCTTTGGTTCAATCTAAACACTTAGATGTCAACCACAAATTACTAACAAAATGAAGCATATTTATTTAAGATGTTCTTCTTCACCTTTTTATGTGGCGAGGGGCTTTCAATGATTAATTCACAACAGAGGATGATATTTAATCAGAAGAGTCAGTCATATTAATTAGCTCCCATAAAACTGAGTTCATAATCAATTGAACTCAAAAAATATCAGTCATTCCATACGACCATCTCACAAGATACATAAGTTAAAAAGGAAAATAAACACCATGGAGTCAAACAATCTCATCATCACATTGAAAACATGTTTTACCCTTTACATGACAAGATAAAGGGAAGAGTTTCTTACTTGACCACAGGTAAGTTTGCAAGCAATTGCATGACTTGCTTCATGTAAGAATACTGTAATGAGCTTAAAAGGTGTCAATAGCACTGTCCTCCATAGCTACAACAATCAGGGGGGAAATTAGATGAAATCATAAATTTAAGTAAACATAGGCAAACAGTTCAAAGCTCAGGGAAAGAAAAAAGAAATGACTGAAAATTATCATGCAAGGCAATTCTATTAAATTTGCCCAATTTTATATACAATGCTACCATACAGTTGAAAGAACTCCATTTTATACCTTTTAACCGAAAGTCAGCTACAATTAATCCTCCTGGAAAACTCCTTATAAATAGTTGACCAAGTTCCATTAGAGGCCATATTAGTTCATGCAAGCTTGATATAAACACAAAGTCCTTGTTGAATCACCTCATTCTAAATTATATAATTCTCCACACCCATAACCACAACAATCTCATCTGAACACGTGCTGTTTTTCTTCTTCTTTTCTTTCTATCCTTAAGCTTCAACGACAGTTTTTTTTTTTTTTTAATAATTTTTCTTAGCTTCTAGAAGTCAGATTTATTCATACCACTTCAACTCAAAATCCTAATTCTCATAAACACATTTCCAACTCATAAGTGCTTCCAGAAAAGAACCCAAAATCCCTCCAATTTGCAAACCAAGAAACTCTTTAAACTAAAACTAACAATTATGGTTTAGTCAACTCAGGATTTAAAATGTGGTGGCGGCCGCATTTTCACTTGCATCGCGTTTATTGCAATTGTGAACATAACGAATAAGATAGCACTAATTGCGCAATTTTCACAATTTATCATTGAATAGTTTGATATAAAATTATTTATTTATGATATTTAAAGTAATTTATGATATTTTAATCTTACATTTATAGGCTAAAATAATTTTTTCCACATATTTTAATTATAACTTAAAATTAATATGCTATAAAATTCATAAAATTTATGAATATATCAAAGAAAAACATAAACAACGGTCTTAGCGTCCCTTTACGATCACAATTTTTCGTTATACTGTCGCGGACGCTATTTAAATCCATGAGTCAACTTAACCACAAATGCCCTCATTGACTAGCTCGCTCATCCTTCAAACAAACATAACAATGGAATTCTTACTAAATTTACCCAGTTTTGATCTTTTCTCTTTTTTTTAACGACCAAATACAGAGCAGAATAAACCATCTTTATATCAAGAAGAAAAACCAAGAAAGAAACTTACAGCAAGAATGACAACAGTGAAGACACCTATTGTCACCAGAAAGGCCACTTGGTCATTATTGCAGCAACTTTTCAACTCCCAATTTGCCATTTTCTCTTTTTACTTCAAAAACTAAGAACAACGCTTTCCTTCTGGGTGTGTGTTTGGATCTTGAGAAAGTGAGAGAAAAAAATGAAGAAAAAAGAAGAAAGTTCGCAGAAAGAAAAACTACTTGGCTTTTGGTCTTCGCGTTTTTATATTGTTGATTGGAATGTGAAAGGACCAATACAATTGCGCGTTATTTACATATTTTTGTCGCTTTTTTATTTTCTATATGACTTGCTGGTTGTTGCAGGTGAAGACTAAGTCCTGATTGGGCGAACGTCTGCCAATTCATATTTGTCGTTGGGAAATGTTAAAAATTGGCCGCCTTTGATATTTTCAAAAGACAAATTATTGTCTAGCTTTCTGGTCTAGTAGGTAAGAATGCCTTAAAACGATATAAGATTGGGCTAAAACATCAGTCTCTCCTTTAACGCAAGGCTCTATCTCTTTAAAATAAAAAAATAAAAAAAAAAAAATTATTTGATAAATTTAATTTTTTAATTTTATAAAATAACACATATGCTATCGGATCAAAATAAATTTTTATTTGTTTTAAATTATTTTAAATTTATAAATTTTAATTTAATTTAATTTTTTATATATATATTTAAATTTGACTCAAACTAATGTTATAAGATTACATAAAAATAAATATTTTAAAAAATTTAAAAAAATTATTAGGTATATTGTATATAGAGTTTTTTAATAAATATTATTTTATTTTAAATTTTAATAAAAATATTACACAAAATATAAATTTTATTTTAAAATAATAATTAAATATTGACCTCCCCTCCACGTCAAGCATGCAATCTCTCAGACATTAGGAGATGAAAGGCAGTGATACTCAACACGATGTTGTGCAATATTATGCGAATATTGTAGGATCAATAGGTTGGAAAGGGAGATCGGTGGTTCTGTCTCACAAATTTAGCAAATTCTTCAAAAGAGTAGCTATGATCGGTTTCGGTTCCATTCTTGAAGCTGATACAAATGCAGAAGAGAATAAGCAAGATTTTTGTTCTCTCTGAAAATTACAAGGCACCACCACATAGCTAATAGCTTTTTCTAGAAAGCTTGGTCGATCGTGCAAGAGAAGAATTCGCAGCTGCTATTTTCGACTTCTTCAACTCTAATAAGTTATAACCTTGTAAATGAATCAAACAAATACGTGTGTGTATGTATATATATATATATATATATATATATTATTTATTTATTTATTTATGAATTATTTATTTATTTTAAAAAATATTCGAACTTAATTCATGTTTGATAAAAAAATTATTCTATCCATTCAAATTTAATTTATTTAAATGGTAAAATGTTTTGTATTCAATTCGGTTCAATTAAGTTAGAAAAATTTGCTCGTAAACATTAAATAAACATATTAACAAACATATACAAACGAATATGTTTATGAATAATAAATAAATTATAATTAAATAAATTTAAACAAATAAGTATAAGTGAACTTTAAAATATGATTAAAGTAAAAGATAAAAATTTAATTTTATTATTATTATTAAAAACGAATAATAAACAAACAAATTTTAAATAAACTTTAAACGAGTTTATTTATAAATATAAACAAATCAAACAGACCTTTTTTTATATTCAATAAATAAAAATGATATTCAAAATTATTTGTTAACTTTAATAAACAAATATAAATTAATAAAAACTTAACATATTCACGAATGTTTCATCGAAAGTTGTATTCACTAATACTCTTAAACCTTTTATATAAATATAATATTTAGATAAAAAAAACTATTATAACTCTAATTTAAAATATATAGATGTAAATTTTGTCTATACTTAATAAGGATTCAACTTTTTATCTGAGTAGAGATCAAGATAAATATTACATCATGAAAATGAAAATAGATATGATTTTAAATTTTTTATAGGAAACAGGGAAGGTACTAATAATATAACACTAATCCCTTATCTGTACCCATACCTTACATATATTTATATATATATTTAATAAATAATTTTTTTATTAAATAATATAAATTATTATTTTAGATTAATTAAAATTAATATATTTCTATTTAAAAATATATATACTAATATATATTTATAAAAAAATTACATAAATATGCAAGATAAAAATAAAAACAAAGCTAAAAAATAAATTTATGTTTTTATTATTTTAAAAAAATTATAAATACGAAAAGTTATCAATATCTATTAAATACTCATAGAAATACGGATAAAAATAGATTTGAAACACTCGTTGAATATAAATACGAAAATAAATATAATATAAAATTTTAAAAATGGGATAAAAATTATTTTACCTACCCTATACTTTACTTATTAACATCCTTACTAAAATATTTGTCTCAATTCTTATGTAATATATTAATAATATATTAAATTCTTAATTTCAATAATCAATTATCAACCTTCTAACTATAGATAAAAAAAGTCTATCTATATCACATCTCACTCTCATTTAACTAATTACACATAGCAAATATGTATATCATTTTAAAATACAATGAAATTATTTAATTATCTCCGAACCTTTGATCAAATGACTAAAAATGTTTGAAGAGACATCAAAGATTTGATTTCAAACCAAATCTCTTCGTTTTTTTTTTATACCAAAATTTCACCCTCCTAATGTAACAAAAAAAACTATCTAATTAAGCATGATAGCAAATATATATATCAAGGACTTCACCTTTCTGCTGTAAATATATATATATATATATATATATCTAATTAAGGACGATAGCAAATATGTATATCATTTCGAAATACAATGAAACTGTCTTTTCCATGCCTTAGGAATGGGGTGGGATGTTGACGCCCAAAAACAAAACGAACAGTGAAATACTTGATTAGTTACAGAGGTGCTAATTACAAAGGTAATTGGTCTTTGCTAAGTCACTATTCTATTGGTATATGGGTGTATTTGCAACTATTGAGACTAGCCAATGAAATACTTTGGAGACAATTCCTCATTTCTCTCTCTCGATTTTTCTTCTTCTTTCTCTTATCAAGTTGTACAGGTACATTGTTACGGTTTCATCTTCTTCATCACATTTAGCTCATATCAATCTAGTAACAGAGTAGACGATTCTACAATGGCAGAGGGCTTAACTACCAGAGCATAAAAGGAACTGGGTCAACTACAGAATGAGCTGGATTCCAAGTTATGCCAAACTGCAACCCAAATGCGAGAAGAACTACATAACAATTTGCAAGTTGGGCTGGAGAAAATTGGCACTGATCTAAGGAAGATGTTTGATCAACTTGCTTCAAAGTTTGAGAGCTCACTAAAGATATCCGAAGCAGTTTCTTCAATGGTCAAACAGAATGAAGCGGTGGATGTGACTGAAACCAAGTCATTGATGAAACTGGGTGGCCTACCTATAGCAACTACGATGCATACCAAATATTCCAAGGTTGAATGTCCACGATTTGAGGGAAACGACTTCAGAGGTTGGCTCCTTAAAATCGAACAATTCTTTAAATCTAATCAGACCAGAGAAAGTGATAAGGTTAAGATTGTGATGATTCATCTAGATAGGAAGGCTCTTCAATGACACCAATGGTTTATAAAAAACAGGGGTAAGCTCACTGATGTTTCATGGCTTCAATATATTACTAAAATGCAATCTCGTTTTGATAAAAATGAGTTTTCTAATCCTATATTTGAATTAGTGAGTCTGAAGCAAAATCATAGCGTTGATGATTATTATGATGAATTTGAAGGACTATTAAACATGATTGATATATCTGATGAGCATGCCCTTAGCATCTTTATTAGTAAAGAACAAGGGTAAGCTCACTAATGTTTCATGGCTTCAATATATTGCTAAAATGCAATCTCGTTTTGATAAAAATGAGTTTTCTGATCCTATGTTTGAATTAGTGAGTCTGAAGCAAAATCATACTGTTGATGATTATTATGATGAATTTGAAGGACTGTTAAACATGATTGATATATCTTATGAGCATGCCCTTAGCATCTTTATTAGTAATCTGAATCCAGACATATCCAAACCCGTTAGGATGTTTTATCCTAAAAACTTGGCCCATGCTTATAACCTTGCCAAACAAATGGAATCCCTTATATATAACTTACCTAGAAAACCATATACTTCTTCAAAAAAATCCCTTGCCAACACCAACCTCATCAACTCAGATATCAAGTCAACCTAAAACGACTTATTCTCCCCTGCTACCTACTCCAAAGGTTTCCATTATGAACTACAATCAACCTGTTAAACATATAGCTCCTATTAACATCTATAACCTTGTAGACATCCAATTTGATCCAGGTCCGGATTAATTGGGCCTGATTCAAATGGATAAGCCCATTTCTTTTTTTATTTTGTATTTTTCATTTTTATTTTATTTACATTTTTATTATTGTTATTGTTTTTTATATTTTTTTCTTTTATTTTTATCTTATGTATTTATTATTTATTTATTACTACTATTTATTATATATTTATCCTTATTATTATTTTTTTCTGTTAATATTTATATATATTTATCTGATTATATGTTATAATTTATCTATTATTTAATTTTAATTTATTTGTTAATTTTTTGGTTTATCTGATTTATTTTCATTTATATTTTATTTGATTTTTTATTTTTTTGATTTATTCGACTGAAGATTGGATTGGGATTCAATCAGAGTCCATATTGAATTCAATGCTTGAATCTCGATCCAAAGAGAAGTTGGGATTGATCAAAAACTCTTATGATCAATCCCTATAAAAGAACCCTCAGGATCAAAAAAAGAAAACATAGAAGACAGAGAGAAAGAGTTACTGGCTGAAAGGAAAAGGCAGACAGAAGAGATTTGAAAGCTGCAAAAAGGGTTTAGAGGCGTTCGAATAGCTTTAGGAATCGGTGGAAATTTTTTGGAGATTTTTCTGTGAATTTTTTTTGAAATTTTTAAAAAATTTCCAGATTTCGATTGAATTTTTCGACGAATGTTGAATTTTTCGACAACAATTCCAGCCAAATTTGAAGTTTTCCACCAACTTCCCAATTTTCGACAATAATTTCCATAAATCAATTAGTTTTCCGATGAATTTTTTACGAAAAAACTCAAATTCTGACGAAAATTTTTAGAATCCAACGGTCATTCAACCGGAGTTCTTCGGGTTTCTAGAGAAAATGGAGAGAAGAAAAAAGGGAAGAGAGAGAAGAGAAGAAGGGTTCTGCTAAAAAAAACGAAGGAATCAGCATTATATACCTTTCCAAAACGATGTCGTTTCTGCGTTAAGTAATCCAGAGGATCCGCGCATTTTATCGAGATCCCACCTGACCCGAGCGTCGACCCACGCATGACCCGTC